ACAGCCCCTCCTGGTCCCTTTTCTAGGCAATGAAATGTGAATTGCTTTTTTTTTTTTTTTTTCCAGTAGGACTTTTGACTGATGACTTTTCTTCTTTAACTTTTATGTATACGCGTGCGTGCTTTAATCTCTGGGTGCGGTGTATGCATGTACGTGTTTGTGTGCGCGCAAATGTGTGGGTACGTACACATCTCTATGTATGCAGAAGTCATCAGTCAGCCCTGAGAGCCTCTATCGCTCCCATCTCCATTTGCTGCGAGGTCTCTCTCTGAACTTGGTGCTCACTGTTTTAGCTAGACAGGCTGGCTGCGGAGCCACAGGATCTTCCTGTCTGCTCATCTCAGTACTGGGATGTATGCTGCCATGCTGGGCTTTATATCTGGGTTTTGGGGCTCCAAAAACTCAGCTCTACCAACTGGACAATCTCTTGTAATTAAAAAAAATTTTTTTAAAGGTAAATGTATTAACCACAGAAAACTTAAAACAAAAGTATATTGTTTTTTTTCCTAGGCATACTTGGTTATTACAATTTTATTTGTAGGTTCTGGGTGTCCCACAGGAACTGGTGTCACCCTCCCTAGAGTGTTTATCAGGGGATGAAGGCCAGGAAGGACAAGCCCCTCGTCTGCAGGCAGAAACATGAGGTAGGCAAAGTGGGAACCTTTCTTGACATCGGTTTTTGGCTTTTCAGGTCCCTCTAGCAGTTTTGATGAGTGTTGCAAGTTTAAAAATATCTCTGTGGAGAGTACCTACTCCACCTCCCCTCTGGATTCTGAGGTCCCCGAGCGGCCTCAGAATCCACTTCCCTCACACCTCTCATCTGCCTGCTGGGCAGCCAGGCTCTGTAGTCTGGGATCTCCACAGGAACCTGAAGTCAGGTAGCCCATTCTGGGCTCTCTTCCCTCCCTTCAAGCCAGCTCCAGTGGCTCCACTTGGGTGACACAGGGCAGGTCCTTGACTGGCACAGCTGGGCCTCTGGGGCCTCTGGGCTTTTTCAGCCCTGTGTATGGCTTTTTCCCCAGCTTTATGAAATTCCCTAGGGTTGGACGGGGCCTGCAGGTGCACGAGCCATTACTATCCAAAAGTCTGGGGAACCTGAAAGGTGGACTAAGTGGTTGTCAGTGGAAGAAACTGGCCACAGGGGGACAGCAGGTATGCTGTCCCAGAGCAGTGAGCCCGAGCAAGTCTGGTTCTCAAGAGCTGTTCTAGAACCATCCAACACTGGAAACTCCTGGAGAGTTTTCAGTAAACACTCTTGAGCGTTCAAACGAGACCTTTAAAAAGGGTTTGCCTGTATTATTTAGATTCTGTGTAGATGTTTGTGTCTGTGTGAGGGTACATGCTTGTGAATTCGAGTGTCTGCACAGGCATCTGGTCCCTGAAGCTGGGCTTACAGAAGGTGGTAAACCACCTGCTAAGGATGCTGGGAACTGAACTCAGGTCCTCAACAACAGCAGTACATACTCTTAACTATCGAGCCACCTCTCTAGCCCCTCTGATGAAGTATCTAAACTGGCATCTTTGTTTCTTTTTTATTTTTAGTTTCATTTTATTTTATTTTTTTAAAGCACTGCCTTGTTTGAAGTCTAATTCATTCTCTCAAAGCTCCTCGTGGCACACGTCCTCCTCTGACAGCGGGCGCAGTGCTGTGACAGGCTGATAGCTGTCCATCGCTGTTGCCCTAGAGGGGAAAGGAGGAGTGGCTGGGTTTTATCACCATCTTTCCTGGCTCCTGGCCACATCACTGCAGCTGCAGGATGTGGGCAGAGGAGGGAGATGCCACCGAGCAGGGTGCCCCGTGTGTCACACTGGCCCATGGTTCTGGGCTCGTTCAGTCCTACTAACATTCTGGTCCCAAATTCCAGACTTCAAGGAGGCTTTCCATCCTTCACCCCCAACAGGGGCCGTTTTCTCACTTCCTTCCTCAATGCCCAGTTTTTATTTTGGAAAGGTGTGGTTCAACAAAAGTTCAAAAGGAGGTAAGGCAGGAATCCTAACAATGTGGCAGGAAAAATGAATGTGGAGAACTAAAGAAATAACGTCTTCAGTTCATGGTTCAGTACCCTACGCATGACTTTGCATTAGTGACCACGCCTTTCTGGGCCTTGATTTTCCTCCTTGCAGTCAAGGCTAACATGGGATTCTTCGCCTTGGCTTTGCTGATGCTTGGAACAGACCATTCTGAGGGCTGAGAGGCTATTCTGGGCACTGTGCACCATTCAGAAGCATCCTTGCTGCCCCACCCCCGCCCCCAGAAGACCCGTATGCACCCTCTCGTCTTCAGACATTGGCAAGTGATTCCTGTGGTGCAAAATCTCTTTTCCCACTGCAAAGCCGCTGGGTGGGAGTTATGTCTCCTTTTTGCTGGTTCTGAAATTAGAAAAGGTTGCCTCCCTTTTCTTCCACACACTCTCTCTCCCCATCTTTGAACTTGATTCTTCTATGGTGAGCAAGTGGGATGAGGCCAGGCCTGCTGGTCATGTGTTCAATGGCAGTGTGTTCTTGTGTGATAAAGGGATAGGATCAAACCTGTTCCTTACTCGGGAAGAGGGTGACACAGGCTCAGTTTATACAAAGGACTGGAACAGTGTCCTCTGCTCTTATATTTGGAGCAAAGATGAGGCCAGTCACCACGATGTGGGATCCAAGGAGGGGCTCAGGACACGTGGAGGCTGATAATGTCACAGGCAGAGACTTTAAAGTGAGCATGCCTCAAAAGGTTTGGGGGTAGAAACGCAGGAAAGAGAGGTACCAAAAGTTGTTCGCCACGGGCAGATGGGCAAGCCTCCCCCCAAACTCTTTTCTCCCTGTAGAGACTACATTCCTACTTTCCCTTGCTCTTGAATGTACTGATGGGATTGAGTTCTGGCTGACGGTGTGTGAAGAGCGGGTCACAACTTCCTCCTCCATTAAAACCAGAATCATTTACTCTCAACTCCCGCTGGCCACAGGTGAGGCTCCACAGCCTGGGACTGAGTCTCTGCATGACAGCGTGGGTCAGGGCTTGCCTCCATACTCCTCTGGGTGGTGGACCTAACATAAGAAACGAAGTTCTTTTATTTTCAGCATTTACACTTGGGGCTGTGGAGCGTGTATTTGGCTTACTCTTAAGTAACACAGCGAAGGCTAGAGTGGTGGCTGCTGAGCTGGCCCAGGGATGGGCTGTGAATGTTTACTTTTTCTTATTTTAGAAATGGCGACACACGCCTTCGATGGCAGCACTTGGGAGGCAGAGGAATGCAGATCTCTGTGAGCTCGAGGGCAGCCAGGATTGTTACGCAGAGAAACCCTGTCTCAAAAAGCCAACATACGTACATACATACATGTGTGTTTGGGTGTGTGTAGGTTCACATGTGTGCACGTATGTATGAAGACCATCCTTAGGAACCCTGTCCTCGTCCTTTGAGGCAGGGTCTCTCGTTGCCTTGGAGCTCATGTGATTGGCCAGAGAGCGCACCAGAGATACTCTTGTCTCTGCCTCCCCAATACTGGGATTGCCAGCACCCACCACCATAAGCTTGAGATCTTTAAATGGACTCTGGAGAAGGAACTCAGGTGCTCATGCTTCCAAGACAGGCACTTTACTGGCTGAGGCACCTCCCTGGCCCCCCACTCCCTAGACCCCTGGCCCTAGAGGTTATTCACATTAAGGGACTACAACATTGATTTCTGTGTTGGTGCTAACAGACCTAGCTCTACAGATTCTGGAGGCAGCAATTTCAGCTGAACTCAACACGTGACCACGTGACCACAGGAGGTGGGGGCAAGTCCCTAAGTGCAGCCTGGCACAAGAGTCAGGCCAGGGTGGCTGGACAGCTTCTGCTGAGCCAGGGTTTCCTCCAGGCTAAGAATAAACAGTGGACACGAGCATTCTGGCACAAGTTGCTAACTCCAGGCAGAACTGGCTCCAGGCTAGCGGCACAGCCAGTCTACACCGTGGTCACTGGTGGGACCTGGCAGAAGCCTGAACTCCTCAGGCTGTTGGAGCTGATGGCTCAGCATCCTTGGGGACATGGTTTTTTGAAAGAGGGACAAGAAGCCACAACAGAGAGTTCAGACAGGCTGGGAGAGGGCAGAGGAATGGGGACAACAGATCTCAGTCCCTAGCCTGATGCCCTTCCCTGGGATCAGGGTGCAAGAAGCCCTTGAAGAAGGAAAAAAAGTATGGCTTCAGAGAGACCAACAGAGCTCATCACTCTTGGGAAGAATATTCCAAATCACAGTCATACAAGATAGGAATGGTGACAGGGGTTGGGAAGGTCCCTGGGCTGCAGGTGGGTGGAACTAAAGGAAATCATTGATGATCTCTCTTCATGCCTCTGATATCCAGCAAAGGCCATGCAAGGGAGAAGCTGGTGACTCACAGCAGTTGTTGCTGGGGCCTACGCAATCAGCCAAGTATAGCTTGTGTGGATGGGTCAGCCTGGCCCTCCTCTCCCTGTCCTATCCCGTTCCTCCCTGTGCCAGGGGCAGTGACAGCTGGCTGCCCTGACTGGCTTGTGGGAAGCTGAGCCCTGTATCAGCAAAGGGAAGCCTGCTGGCCACTTGTCTCAGCTAGCGTCTCCTTCAAGAAGGCGTCTCGCACCTTGGACCCAGGGGAGAGCACCAAATTAGGAGGCTGAGCCCTGTTGTCCCCACACCTCTGCCCCAGCCTGTTTAAGTTCTGTGTCCCGGTTATCCAGGCCTCTTTCTTTCCACCTCAGAAGGGCACCTAGGAAAATGTGTTCTGGTATCCTGAGCTACCAGTTCCCATGCCCCCAGAGCTCAGGCTTTTACCAAGTCCCACCCAGCGACTTGCTTAGTTGCTCCCAGATTCTCCATGGCGAAGGAGCTCAGTGGTAACCCCAGACTAAGCCTTGCCTGGTCCTCAGAGTCAAGCCAGAAAAGCCAGTCTTGGTCATACGCTGTCTGCCCTCCCCGCCTCACTCTCTTTCTCTTGGGTATCCTCCAGAGAAGCGCTTTCCCCGCCTCCCCATATTAAAAACAGGACATTTTAAAAATGTTTTTATTTAATTAAAAAAGAGAGAGAGAGAGAGAGACAGAACTAACAATCCCAAACCATTGGTGGGTACAGGATCACAGGGGCTTACCTGGTGGACAACACAGGGGGGAGGGGGTGGGACAGAGGAAGGGTAGGACAGTAGGCTCAGGCCTATCTCCCTTCAGAGAGGGAACCAGATCCGAGCCTGTCAGCAGTAGGGTCTGGCTCTACTCCCTTTGTCCCACAGGGAGGGCAAGCTGGAGACCAGGGTCCCCAGAACGAGGCCAGCAGTCAGTGGGAGGAAGGTTGTCAGGCCTGGAGCAGCTGAGGTTTTCTCCCTGTGTTCTACCCCTCTGTGTCTTCTCTTTCTCTGTCTTGGTCCCTGGAGTGGGGCCCGTGTACTCTGCCTGGAACTGGACAAGAGGTAGGAGTCATGGGAACACAGCTCTCTTATGTGGAATCGTGGAAACCTCTGGGACCACAGTTGGGATAAAGGCTTGTGCGGAAGTCCCACCGGCTCTCTAGGAGAGACAAGACAGGTCTCCCCCGGGGGGCTGGGGCTCCCTTCAGCCTCATTAGATGTTACAATGGTGGCAGAGGAGAGGTGAGGGCGGGGAGGCGGGCGGGGAGAGGGCCTGCAGCAGGGACAGACCACACATGTCTCGACCCTGGCGCTTACTGCTGTACATGCTTCACACACACTGCGGAGCCAACCTGGCCAGCGGTGGGGCGGGGGCGGGGCGGGGCGGGGAATGGTTTTGAGCAAGCACAGAGGAGCCTTGGCATGCTCACATCTCAGCTCACCAGCTCCCGGGGTTTTGGACATGAGATGCCTTCCTGTGGCAGTGGTGGGGACAGTGGAAGGCAGGCAGGGAAGGATAAACAGACCTGGGTCTGAACTCCGAGTTAGCCTAGGGGGCTCCATGAGCAGGTGACTGAGGTAAGAATTGGCTTGTCACTTCTAAGTGAGACAGTTACCGGGGTCACAGATGACTGTTCAAAGATTGGATTAAGAAGTCTCAAAAAGTAAGAAACAATTGATCCTTAGAAAGCACGTGTGTTATAGAAAAGAGGGTAAGTTTCACCTTCTAACCTGGACACTCTCAAGCGGTTCTTGCTCACCTCAAAAGGGAGGTGGGGGTGGAGGGGGTGGACAGTTGGACAAACTGTAAGACACAGAATTCATCCTTAGATTCGGGCAAAGTTAGAAAGCCCAGCATGGCCCCTTGAGTCAAACGTCCACTGAGCCCTGATGTCGGCAGAATAAATTATAATGACGGTTGCTGGGGAGATGCTGTTGCTATTTTTTAGGACGAAGAGGTGAGTGCAGCTTGCTCTCCTGCTGTTGCTCTTCAGAACGAATGATTCATAACCACTTGCAAACGGACGCTCTTCCTTTCTTCTTTTTGGTCTCTGCTCACCCTCCGGTTTCCCTTTCTTGTACTTAAGCTTGTACATCTGTTGCGGAACATCAGTTTGGAGGTGGGAGTACAGCTCTACCTCACAGCGGGACCCTCTGCTGCTCAGGGGACAGAGTGGTTCCTCAGGCCAGTGTGGAGGGACACAGCAAGAGGCCACAGGCCCACGTTTCCTCAGATCCATGGAATCCTCTAGACCTCCAAGTCTAGTCAGCCTGTCCTGACCATTCTGAGGGCAGCAGAAACTTCCAGAAGCAGGTAGAAAAGCCAGCAGAGCCTCTGCATTTGCCTTGGATTCCTGGTCTCCTGAGGTGGAGAGCAGCCGGCCTCAGGACAGCTCAAGGCGGAAGCACCAGTTAGCCATCGAGCTTTCTCTTCAGGACAGATATATACAACCACCGGTTCCACCAGGGTGCCAGAGGCCGGGAGAGGGAGACACAGAGGGGACAGGAGTGAGCTTCGGCTCATTGCAGGCTCCAGGACACAGGAACTTCTGGGTGGGAAAGAGCTGATGGGAGTTCAGGGCTCCCAGTATCTGGAAGAAGGCCTTCCTGTGGCCCACCGCCCGGGGAAGGGAAAAGGGGTTGACATCATCTTCTTCTGGCACGACTACTTTCCTGATTCCCAAGTGGCAGGCTGATGCAGTTTCTGGCTAACAGCTGGGCTTCCTGAGAAGTTCCAAACACCCAGAGGGCAGCAAAACACCCTGTCTTGGGAGAAAGTCAGCCCTCATTCCCTACCCTAGCCCTAACTCCGGCCCCCCCCCCCCCGGCTTCCTTCACTCTAAATCAGCATCTTCTGGAGGCCAGGGGTGGGGGTTGCTCTTGGCTCCAGTTCACTCTCTATAATCTTAAGGGTCACCCTGTTGTGCGTCACCCAAAACAGCCTCTCCGGGGGAGGCTGGTGCTGAGGGGTGGGTGGGCAGGTCACACGGGAGTTGTCCGCCGGTTCAGCATGCTGACGTGGAAACCTTCCTTCAGGTCCTGTTGGAAGAAGTCGTGCATCTGCAGGAAGCCAGCGTCCTGGTCTGGGCTGTAGCTGGCGGCTGTGGTCACCTTGAGGGGCTCTCTGGATAGCGTGTACATGGACAGCTCTCCCATGGGGATGGCCCCGGTGATCTTCAGGCCCACGGGAGACGCATCCCTGGAGGGCGAGGCCTCGGTGGACCTTGAACTGGACCTGGACCGCCGTCGCCGGTACCTGTAGCTGGGCATCCTGGCGTAAGGAGAGGAGGAAGAGGCCTTAAGGAATTCGCGCTTGGTCTTAAACCTCAACTCTTTATTTTTCTCAATGTAAATGTTCACAGCCAGGACGCCCACGGTCTCCGCCACAATGAACGACAGGGCTCCGAAGTAAAAAGACCAGCCGTAGTTGTAATGGTTCTTTTTGTCTTCGTCACGTTTGTCGCTGGGGTCTCCCGTGTTGCTGGAAATGTAGACGATGATGCCAATGATATTACTGAGGCCTGGAAAGAAGTGAGAGAGGGGGCCAGGGAGAGAGCTAGGGGTTAGACTCACAGTAGGAACGACAAGACAGGAGGGCAGGCCACCGAACATGGGATGGTGGCCTGTCTTCTCCTCTATGAATATTCATTTATTATGGTAGTTTATTTATTTTTTTTGAGACAGTCTCATGTAGCCTAGGCTTGCCCTGAATTTGTGTGACCAAGGATGACCTTGAACTTCCAATTACTCTTTCATCACCCAAGTACTGGGATTACAGGCTTGCACTGCCACAGCTGACTTGATTCGTTTTTCTTCTTTCTACCCTCTTTTCATCCTTCTATCCCTCTTTTCTCCTTCCTTCCTCTCCTTATGATAGGATCTCACATGGCCGAGGCTGTCTCAGACCTCCCTACATAGCTGAGGCTGGCTTTGAACTCTTGATCTTTTTTTTTAAGAAAATGATTTTATGTATATGTGTATTGGTGCTTTGCCTGTATGTCTGTACAACACTTGTCTTCCTGCAATTACAGATGGCTGTGAGCCACCATGTGTGTTCCGGGAATTGAACCCCAGTCCTTTGTAAGAGCAGCCAGTGTGCTCTTAATCACTGAGCCATCCCTCCCAGTCTGGAACTCCTGATTCTTTTGCCTCCACCTCCCAGGTGCCGGGATTAGAACCCACCATCTCGGCCATCTTGGTAGCTAGCTTCCCCCTCTGAGCCCAGTCACCCTTGGGTGCTTGTGAGAGATAAAAATCTACCATTCCCAGAAGAACACACCATCTGTGATGACCACGCCCCTTAGAAGAGTGCAGCCTTTGCCTATAACCCTCCAATATAGCTTCGTCCAACTCTAGGTAGCTCGTGACAGCCAACACAAATCTATGCTAAGCAAGTGGGTGTCACTCCGTCCTTCCTATCCCAGTCCCTTTATAGGGCAAACTCCTTTGGGTCCTGTCATCCCAGGCATCTTCCGGTTCTTTCCTAATATCCAACTCAGCCAGCTCCCGACCCCGTGATAGGTTTGGGAAGCACCCGGCAGCCCGTTGCCTTGGCTGTATTTGGAATGCCCGACTTTCTGAAATTCTCACACCATCCAATTAACCTCCCTAAACCCATTTGTGACACTGACATCACCTCGAAAACCCCATTAAGCCGCCCCCCCCCCCATCCCTGACCCAGTCCTACAAACCCGGCCTCTTAAAGTTAACTGGCCTTTTAAAGCTAACCGTGTGCTGTCATTTCGGACTGCTCGCCCACCAGTGCATTCAGTGCACTTCCGGCATTGAAGGCCACGTGCTCAGGTGCTGCACGGTCCCGTCCCAGAGCGGCAGCCCCGCTCACCTGCAGCCACAAAGAGGATTCCTGCGCTGAGGACGATGTTGTTCTTTCGGCTGTAGATCCTCCCCGCGCCGATGCACAGCCCTCCGAGCAGGAGCAGGATGGTGCTGAGGATGGGAAAGACGCTGGAGGCTCGCACGATACCTAGGCCAGGGTGGGAACAAAGTGGAGAGGGCAGTGAGTCCAGCCGCCTCCCCCTGCCACGGCCAGGGGCGTCTCTCCCAGGAGTCCCGCTGCTGGACCTGGGCAAATGATGGCTATAGGTTGGCTGTTTACTCTCTAAGAAGCCAAGTGACCCATAATCACACCCGCAAGCAGGTCACTGGGTGTGGGTCACAGTTCTTTCAGATGACAGGAAGTGGAGTGCCTCTGTGGCACGGGGAGGCCACAGTAACGGTAACTAGTGTTCTGGATGGCATGATATCGACACAACACCTCACTGCCCGCTGAGCTCTCTCCTGGTCCCATAGGGCCATCAGAAGGCTGGCAAGCGGTGTACCCTAAAGCCGGGCCTGACCAACGGTTGGGGGAACAGACCTGGGCACAGTCAGTGGGACTGGGAGTCAGCCCTGCTCTGTCACATGCTGTGTGTTCTTAGCCACGTCACTCATTAAAGACTCACTTTCCTCACTCGAGAACACGGCTTAACTCAGTGTCCTCCTCATCGGCCAGGGGAACATGCCAAGTCCTGAGTCGGACGAGGACCCTCTGTTTCCTTATACTCATGATAAATGGAACATTTAAAATTCGCATTCGTTGTTATCATTGTGTGGGCGTGTACGCCACAGCCCCAAGGTGGAGGTCGGAGGACAGCTCTGTGAAATTAGTCCTTCCAGCTTGATGTGGGTTCCGTGATTGAACTCGGATGACCATGCTTTGCACACCTGGCAAGCACCTTTACTTGCCAGTCCACCATGATAAAACTTAATTGGCAATTTCAATAGAAAGTGACGACGGCAGCTAATAATAAAATAGGATCCCTGTAACAATGTGCTGTAATAAAAATTAGCTAAAAAAAAAAAAAAAAAAAAAAAAAACCCAAACAAACAAACCTTAAAACTACGGGTTTTGTATTTCTGGCATTTTCCATTTCTTGACTTTGAATTGCTGTTGACTAGAATCTCACAAAATAAAAGCGCGAATTAGTGGTGAGGTGGTGCGGGGCCGGGGAACTTCAGTGACCACCTGAGTTCACTGTTTCCTAACTTGGTCATGGTAGTGATACCATGCTCACAAGGTTGACTGTGCCCTCTCCCTTTGGATATGGCTTCCCGTGGGAAAAGGTATCACATATGTGTTCAGGGTCCTTAGGGGCCTCAAGCTGAGACCATCCTGAACAAACCAAGTGGTCCCTGAGTCCAGCGACAGCATCTTCCTAAGACAGGGGAGAACATTATGAAGATGGAGTCAGAGGGCAGGACATGGTTGGGAAATTCTGGTGCTCCCCTGAGCACACAGAGGGGCCAGAGTCCTGCCAATGCTTCCTCTTTCTGACTTTCAGCCTCCCCAGGGGTCAGTTTCCATTGCTTTCAGTCGTGTGGTTCACGATAGCCCCTCAGGAAATGGATGGCCACTGAAGCACACAGTAGGCTTCTGGCACCCACCCAGGAGGGTGGAGGTCAGAGGAAAAGAACAAGGCACGAGAGATGTTCACAGCTTGGCCTCCTCCAGGTCCTCACGGCCCTAGAGAACTCTAGTTGCGTGGGCCTTGGTGGCGCCAGGGGAGGACAGTGAGTCAGGAAGTGCGGGCAAGTGCCCCTCCTGAGCCAGCTGACTGGCTTGGGGCCTTGCAGCCTCTGAAGGCGGCGTTTGTCTCCTTTCTGTACGCCCACAGTGTGAGCCCCTGCTCCACAGAGACGGGATTGTGTGGGGGCAGTAAATGGAACTCCTCTCTCTGGCGCTTCCTCCCCGACTCCTCTTAGCTTTCTTATAGTCTCAGGCTCTGGGAGGAGGCTTCCTGTGTGCTTCTCAAACATAGCTCTGAGCAGAGATAGCCAGACCCGGGTCAGGCCCCTGCCCTGCCTTCTGCAGACCAGTCAGGTGGTCCAGACAAAAGGACACTGGAGGCCTGAGGCTCAGCGGTACAGCCATCCAGGGGAGTCCTGCAAGCACCTGTCCCTTGCCGCATGGACTCAGATGTTTGAGCATGTTGCCAAACACGTGTCTGAGCGGCTGGAGACAGCCACGCCTCCATGACCGTATCAAGCCATGGGGGGTTATATATAGCTCTCTGGAGAATGGACACTATCTTGAAATTTACTCTAAGCCCCACTGTGGGCTCACAGTTGCCTTGACAACCAGCACTGTGGCTTGGCACAGACATCAGCCATCTAACCGGAAATCCTGAACCTAGGAGGGAGGTGCCAAGCCTGGGACAAGACAGGCAGGGATGACAGGGGACAAGACACACCCGAGGAAGAAACTCTCGTCAGGGCATGACGTGGTGACCCCCTCAAATCCCAGCTGTGAGTGTGCAACTCTCAGAGGCCTCCAGGAACTCAGTGACAATGGTGTAACTGAAAACGCAAGTCCGGCTTCTCTGGGAGGCCTGGGGATGTGCGGCTCAGGCTCAGGGCTGGCTTGTTTCTTGAACTTTTTAAAATGGGGTGAGGAGCTGCCTAGCCTTGGGCCTGCTGGGCTGCTGGCTCCCAGGCCTTCCCTTCTGTGCTCTCCAAACGCATGCACTCTGACACCGCATGGAGGGCAGAGCTGTTTCCGTGCCACTTGCTCAGGATGGTGACGGGCATGTGATAGAGTCACGGTAAGCTTCAGTTAAGTGAAGGAAGAAATGGACGAACTCATCTCATGAGCCTCCAGAGACTGTGCTCCCGGAGATAACAGTCTGGACAGAGACCAGAGGGCCGAATACTGGGAATCAGGGCAGCCTGGGAGACACAGGACCTGTGGCCACAGGGACTATGACCTTCACAAGCCTAAAAGTTGGTATCCAGCCGGCTCGGGTTTCCCTGTGTTCTGGGGGGATGTGGAAATCAGTTTTCAGGGTCCCATCTCTACAGGCACCAAACGGACGCACACTAGTTTGCTACAGATCAGCAGGTCTCTCTGGGGATCTTGTACATTTGGGAACATGTCCTTTGCGAGAGAGACAGCTGTCCTACTGACACTGTCACTCCAAGGCACTCTCAAGGTACTCAGGGGACACTGCTGAGGACCTGTAGGGCCCGCGCTTCTGCTCACGTGATTTGTGTGACTCAGGGCCTTTACTCTGTCCTTCACTATCTTGTCCTGGACCCCAGGAGGTTGACTGTGTGGACCAAACCATCAAGGCCCCCAACCCTGGCTTTTGGGGGACAACGCCCCTGATGCAGTTAATTCCCAAGGCTTCTCTCTGCCAAGCCGCAAAATGAAGAAGCTGCTGCGTTCTCCCCTAAGGATCACAACTCTTGCCAAGCCAGCTCTGTCCTCCCAGCCCCCTTTCACACGTCCTGCATCGCAGAACCAAAAGGATGTCACTCACACCATAATTTATGCAAGTGGCGTCCCTAGAGTTGGACAGCATACAACCTCCACGACCTATGACCGCCCTAATGGGATCTCATGTACCTGGTAGAGTGTGGGCTCCTCATATGTAGAATCAGAGGACAGGAAAATGAAAGGGGAGAAGGGAAGTGGGTTGGAGGCAGGGCTCTGGTCATGTTATTTCACGTTCTGGGCCTGGCTGGAGCAGCTTCCCTGGCCTCGGCTCCATGGGAACCGTGCTGTTCTATTTCATCAGATGACTCATCATCCAAATCTTTTCTTGTAGGGGGAAAAAGACCCATAATCAGGTGCACAGTGAATTATGCTTCCTCTAAGGACACACTGGTATCGGGCTCTATGTGTGAGGATGGGCCTGGCCCCAGGGAGTGCTGTGAGAAGCAGCTCTTTGTGTCTTTTGGCTGATGGGGAAGAGGGAATGACATGGAAATTCTAGCATCTGTTTCTAGCCCCTCTCCGGCTGTGGTTTCCTCCTTTCTGGAGGAGAGGTGTTCAGAGGCCCATGGATGAACTCTACATAGCTTATCATTTGGGGGTTCAGCACGTGCTATGGGTACCGATTGGGAGGTATCACTCAGTCACAAGATCAGATGGGAGCAGAGGCTTACTGGCAGCCCCACAGGCAGAGGCAGTGGCTGTGTTAGTTGGGGTTGAACGAACTTAGGGTCACCTGTCAGAGGAGGCCCTGCCATGTCCATCAGCAACGGTGAGATCCCTAGCACCTCAGGAAGCTAGAGGTAACCCCTACATAGAGTGTTTCTGATGCTCGGCCCCTCAGGTGGGTGTGGCCTGGGCAGAGCTTTTTTCTTTCTTTCTTTTTTTAAAGTTTATTTTTATTTGATATACATGGGTGTTTTGACTGCATGCATGTCTGTGTGGGGGTGTCATATCCCTTGGAACTGGAGTTACAGACAATTGTGAGCTGCCATGTGGGTGCTGGGATTTGAACCCAGGTCCTCTGAAAGAGCAGTCAGTGTTCTTACCCTCTAAGCCATCTCTCCAGCCCCTTTTAAGCATTTTTTTTTTTTTCCAAAACTGGGCCTCACAGAGCTCAGATCGGCCTCAAATTCACTACACAACAGAGGAGGCACTTGGTTTCTTGGTCCTCCTCCCTCTAGTCTTGGGTGCTGATATTATTGGTGCGAACAATTGTACGGGCTTGGATCTTTTAAAAATTGGGGTCTCATGTGACCCAGCCTGGCCTCACACTTCCTATACAGCAGGGGACGACCTTGAATTCCTGATCCTCCACCACTCTGGAGTACTGAGATTACAGCCTTTGCCACTAACCTGTGCTGAAGCGGTGCTGGGGACAGAACCCACAACTTCGTACACCCTCAGCAAGTACTCTACCAACTGAACTATATCCCCAGGGGAAGTGCCTACCCCTAACTTCGCTTGTCCCACCAGCGGTCCCTTGAAGCTGTAGCTTCCTGTTTGGGCCTCGGTGTTTGTGGGCCTGGGCCCTTGACCCACACTCAGAGACACAGCACATCAGGCCTCTGCTGCGATAACTGGGTTCCTGCCCCCTGAGCTCGGGACTTCTGAATGAAAATGCTTGAAGCCCCCAGGGCGAAGAGCTGGGGCCAAGTCCACAGGGCTCACCTCTCTAGCCCCTCCCTTCCTTTCCCCTCCTCACACAAAGCAGCTGGGGTACTTGTCACTCACGGAGGAGGTACTCTGAGCTGTCATGGTCGTAGTCATTGTCCTCTGGGAAGTGGTTGATCCGGAAGCAGTGCCCTTTATAGATGCCTGAAGGAAACAAAAGGAAACACAGTTTGTGAGTGTCCCGTGGGTTCAGGCAACCATTCATTCCAGATGTGGAAGCTGTGGGCAGGTCACGGGGGGAGAGAGAAGAGAATGTCCATTGCTTAGTGTCGCATGGGGGCATAGAGACAGACACACATAGACACACAGACATGGACAGACACACACACATACCACAGAACACTAGCACACTGAGGGGAGCCTCAACCAGAACCACATCACCTATGGCTTAGCCTTGACATCCTCAAGAATGAAACAGTCACTGTAGGGACGAAAGGCCCCAAGCAGCAGATGGGATCCCCAGACCCAAGGGGACTCTTAGAGTTGCTGCTTGACAAATGACCAAGAATTTGTTCTTGAAGAATGGGCAGAAGGCCTTCCAGGTAGAGCAGGACTCAGCGAAGCGAAGGTCGGTGATAAACAGTAAAGGATGAAACCCTCACACCGAATGAATGAATGCTAGAATGGCCTCAGATTCCAACTCCCTCAATCTGATCGAAGGTAGGGAGCCAGGAAACTTCCAGAAGGGCCACAGCTATCTCCTGACTGGCTTTCTCCTCTCTCCAATAAAGTAGAAGGGCAGGATTCCTGGTTTGTTTAGTAAACTCAAAACGAACAGGACAGTTCCCTATTCCAGTCTTCCATCCATTTCCTCCCATCGCCCTGCAGCCTGGGGATACCCACCACTAACCAAACCAGCAGAGAGGAAGTCACACGGGGAGGAGGTGATATGGCACTCTGTGCCCATGCCTGACAACTCCTCATGCCTACCCAGCCACCTGATTCCTGTAGCCTATGGCCAAAGCTCTTCCTCCCCACCTGCTAACTGGTCAGAGCCCGGTCTATTCCCAGCTGTAGCCAGTGATTTTCTCGCCGCTGCTGCCAAGCACCCCGCTGGCCTCCAGCAACCACAGCCTGACCTCCCGGAGGGTGGGAGCAGTACTGAAGGCTGGCAGTGTGCCAGGGCCACATCTGTCTTCCTGTGGGTCCAACTAAGGGCTCCCTGCCGAGCTGGGAGCAGGCTGCTTTCCTACCTGGCTACAAACGAGCTGTTGACCAGCGGCCCCACTCCAAGCTCTCCTTCAGCTGCTGCTGCAACAGACGGTGGCAGCCATGCTTCCTTGGACCCCAGGTTAGAGAGGCCAGAGACAGATGGAGGGTTTCAGAGGCGGTATCTTGGGTGGGGTGTACTTTGACAGAATTTTCTGTGGGAACAGGGGTCCTCACCTGCACAGCTCTCATCTCTATTCTCAGCCCTCACCTCTCAGGTCCCTTCTTAGACCCAGGTGAGATGAGATGGGCAAGACACTGAGGTGGTTCTCGGCCTTTGGTGATGACTTAGGGAGGTTCACTGCTGCTGGTCCCAGAGCCCCTATCTCCCACCCCCCTACATCTGCTTTGTGTGTCCCTGAGTGGTTGAGTCAGTGAACAAAGGCAAGAACTGGTGAAGGAGGGGATAGACTACCAGAATGGGTTGGCCTCAGGATGGCTGGGGGCAGATAGGCTGGCAGAGGTTTGAGTGGGCCAGCCAAAGCCCCCACCTCACTCCTGAGACATGCCACCCCAGATTAAAAAATATTCCTGTAGACCCAGAACCAGCCCTTTCTGGGGGGGAAAAAAAGGGAATGGGATGAGCAGACTTCTCTGCTACCGCCCAACCCCAACACTTCTTTTTTCCCCCCTTTTTTTCCTATTTCATGGGTCTAAAAAAAAAAAAAATCACCAAGTCACACTTGCTTGTTGGAACAAGTCAAATAATAAGAGATCGGAAAAGAAGACAATCTCTTCAGAGCGACAGTCCTGCAGCTGACTTGCCAGCCTTGTGGACTGTCTTCCCACATCCTCCCAGACACATGCACACAGCTAGGGGTCTCTTCCCGCCTTAAGGGGTACTGGGATTTGATCCCAAGTCCTTGCTCATACTAAGTACATAATCTACTCCTGGACCCTGCACTTAAAAAAAAATTATACCTTATTTTAAATTACTGTAGATTCATATGCCCATGGAAGAAATGATGGGAGAGGCTTGGGAAATGCCCAGTGGGTAAAGTGCCCACCACTCAAGCATCAGGACCTGAAGCCGAGTCCCCAGAACCCATGTGAATGTGGTGGAACTCTATGACCTCAAGGTCCAGGATGGGAAGGTGCGTGGAGAGAGGAGGGTCCTGGGCACACCAGCCAACCAGCAAAGTCTAGCCAGTCAGAAAGCTCCAGGTTCAGTGAGAGACCCTGCCTCAAAAGAAATAGGGTGGGGTGATGACTCAGCATGCAAGTGTGAGGACTGCAGTTCAGATCCCTAGAAAGGATATAGAATTCTGACCCTCAAGGAGGCCTGCCCGTGACCCCCAGGGGAGTGCCAGGGGTGGAGCAGATACCGGGAGTTCTGAGCAAGCTGGCTAGCCGACAGCTCAAATGGTGAGATCTGGTTTCAGCTAGAGACTTGCCTCAATATTTAAGGCGAAGAGCAATGACGGAAGACCCAACAGTAGCTCAGGCACACACACATGCATGTCCATACACACACCCAAAAAATAAGCATGATAATAAAACAACTGAGAGACATCTCAAGGTCAACTTCTGGCCTCCACCCATGCCCATGCTGTTGAGCACACACGTGTACGTCCACACACACGCACATAGATAAAGAGGAAGAAATAAGACACGGAATGACCTTTACTCTGTTTCCTCGGTGGCAACACACCTAACAAGACCAGCACAATGTCACACGCGGGATGGTGACACCGACTTCCTGTGATTCAGAACCTTCCATCACAAGGATCCCTCTAGCTGCCCACCCGCTTTAGCCACACCCACTTTCCTGTTTACCCCAGTCTCCCCTGAGCCCACAGCGACCACCACGCGGTTCTCAATTGTGGTAGTTTGCCCTTTAAAAAACTGTCTGACACATGGACTTATGCGGCGCAGTCACTTTTGTGGGGTGGCGTTTTGCACTCAGCACAAGTCTCCTGAGTTTCAGCTCCCAATTGTGTGTTGGTGGCTTTGCCTTCCACGGCTGGGCAGTGTTCCACAGCACGGGAACCGCGTCCTCTGCTAGATCGTGACCCCCTGAAGGATGCTGCGGTTCCCAGCTGTTCCCAGCAATGCTGCTATGGGTGTTCGTGTTCAAGTCTTGGGGAAAAATATGTTTATTACCATTCTGGGACAAACGCCCAGGGGTGCAACTGTTGGGTCATGTGACAGAAACATTCTTAGTTTCAAGAGAGACTGACAAGCAGGGCTTTGGAACGGCTGCCAAGCTCTACTTTAAAAATAGAATATCATATGCGTTAATCTAGAGCCTTCGCTTGCCACTGACCCATAATTGCAAACATCTCGCCAATGAAAAATTTCAGTCTTCAGAAAATTTTTCTTTTTCTTTTCTTTTTTTTCCTTTTGGTTGGTTTTTTTTTTTTGTTATTTATTTATATATATTTTTTGAAACAGAGTTTCTCTGAGTAGCCTTGGCTGTCCTGGACTCAATCTGTAGATCACGTTGGCTTTGAACTCAGAGATCTGCCTGCCTCTGCCTCCCGAGTGCTGGGATTAAAGGCGCATGATGCCACCGTCCAACAAAATTTTATTTTTTACTCAGGCAAATGGTAGGCCCATATCAATCCAAATGATGCTAGAAAAGTCCGAAAGGAAAACCACAGGAATGAGAGGGAAGTAAGCGCTCCCTCCCTGCCCAGCACTGAGGAAAAGGGCTTTAGCCTATGTAAGGGTAACGTGTGTTTGTCTGTTCAACCTGAAGATAAAGTCCAGCTTCTGGAACGCTAGCTTGCAAACATACAGAGACATCTGCTCTAAGCATCCTTCCGGTATATTTACTGTTCTCCATCTACAGTTTGAGCATTAGCTAACTATACCCATGACCTGATGTCTCTGGCACTGGGGATTGAGCCTGGGGCCTTGAGCATGCTTAGCAAGTAGTTTGTCACTGAACTATGCCCCAGGTCCTTTATCTATCTATCTATCTATCTATCTATCTATCTATCTATCTATCTATCTATCTATCTAATACAGACTTGTAAACAAGATCCTGTAGCACACTTATCAGCTTTCATAGCTTCTTGTTGGTTTGCTTTGAGACAGGGTCTAACTGTGTAGCCTTGGCTGGCCTGAACATGCTATATAGACTATGCTGATCTTGACTGCATGATCTCTGCCTGTGTCTGTCTCCCAAGTGCTGGGGTTAATACTACCAGGCCAGGCCTGTGGCTTTGTTTTTAAAGTACTGGGTACATGTGTGGAGGCCAGAGGTCAGCTTTGGGCGTCCCTCCTCAAGGACTATTGATCTTATTTTTTGAGGCAGGGTCTCTCACTAACCTGGAACTTGCCAAGTAGGCTAGGTTGGCTGTCATCCAGAGATCTCTGCTTCTCCAAGGCTGAAAGATGCAATACATGTCAACACTCTTGGTTTTTTACTTGGGTGTTGGGGATTGAACCCAGGACTTTACGCTTGTGTAGCATTTTTCTGGCTGAATTATCTCCCCAGCGCCTCATTCTGAAGCATGGACTTCTCCATGGCTGCATGAGTGTCTACGGTTCTAGATATATATAGATATATCTCTTCTCTTTCTTGGAGGCTTTGTCCTTACACGGTGGGTCCATACTTTGTGGGATAATGGCCAAAGGGAGTCTGAATGCACGTACTCTGCATAAGCTTTTCTGGTCCTTCCCTCTCCTCCCCTTTGCTCCCTCTCCCTTCCCTCCCTTTCTTTCCTTCTTCCTCCTGCTGTCTCACATATCTAGAGAGAGTAGAGAGATCGGCATAAACTTGGTTAAGCTATGCTGCCCCTAAAGGCATTTTACAGTATAACCTGCAGTAGCTGTGTGGGCACCCAGGCCAGTCAGCTTTCCATCATGGTGACTCAACACTCCAGACAAACCACGGCAAGAGACGAACCATGGAAAGGCTGATTTGGCTCACGGTTTCTGAGGCTCCAGGCTGCGGTTCTTTGAGTCTGTGGGACAGTATACAGTGA